CTTGCGAACACTAATTTCTGACACAGCGCCCGCCGGAGGGTGATTTGGCGCCCACCACCCTCGAACCAGTCTTGGACGCAAATCGATCACATTGCTGTCAGTTACCGCTGGAGAGGCTGCATCCAGAACTGTCGCTCGATTTGGAGCACATGTGTGGACACTGACCATGCACTTGTATGTGCTGACCTGAGGATGCGTTTTGGCGGACGCCTAAGAGGACTTTGTGAGCGCATTGACACCAGCTGTTCTGAATGCCTATCAAAGTACGCTGTCATGCGAGTTGAGTAAGCGCTCAACGGATGCAGTTGAAGCTCACTGGTCTCATATTCACCAGACCTTTCTAGCAGCAGAAAAATCCTCATGTGGTAAGTCTAATCGCCAACATGGACATTGGGTCGCTTCGCAGTCTCTCGAACTTATCGATCCTCGCTGGCATATTCCGGCTGCAAGCGAACACAATGAAACTCGCAAAGAGCTCCAGGCAAAACTCCGTGCTAGCCTGATGAGAGACCACGAATCTTGGTGCTCATCGTGCGCGGAAGATGGAAGTGGCTGCTGCCCTTGGTAACCATCGGAAGTTATTCCGTCTGATACGGGAAACGGGCAGCAGAAGACCTGGTGTTAGTGAAACGATACCTGACGAGAGTGGACAGCCTATCTACAACCTGTCAAAACGTTTGGAGCGTTGGGCTGAGCACTTTCAAAGGCAATGTAATCGGTCGGAATCGTTAGATTTCTCGCCGGCCACTGATCGTCCAGTTCCCTGGGCTGTCCCTTTGGATCCACCTCTCGCTCAGAAGTCGAACGTGAGATCGGACTGTTAAAGTTAAATAAAGCCGCGGGACCAGATGATCTTCCTCCAGCCCTCTTCAAATTATGGGGACCTGCTCTTGTGGATGATTTAGACGTGCTACTGGAGCAGGAAACTGTCCCAACAGACTGGAGCCGCTCCGTCATAGTCACAATTTTCAAGGGGAGCTCAAAATCGGAATGCGGCAACCATAGAGGAATCAGTCTGATTTCGATTGCCTCTAAATTGCTTGTCTCTGTCATCCTTCACAGACTGACTGGCACTCGTGAAAGCCAGATTCGTGAGGAGCAAGCTGCATTTCGTCGAGGTCGTGGATGCATTGACCACATCTTCACCTTGCGTCAGTTGTTGGAGCACCGTCACATATATAGGCGGCCCACCGTTGTCGTGTTATTCGATATCAAAAGTGCATTCGATTCGGTGAATAGGTATGCATTTTCGAACTGACTACTCAGAAAAAGTGTATCTGAGAAATATGTGAATACTCTCCGATCATGATACGTACGTAGTTCAGACAGAGTGAGGGCTTAGGGCAAGTTGTCGTCGCCCTTCAACATCTCCAGTGGTGTGAGACAAAGATGCCCGCTGTCACCTTTGCTCATCAACTTCGATATTGACAAAGTCATGGAAATCGCGTTCACAAGACACGACTGAGGTGTGGATCTGCTCTCAGGAGAACGACTTCTTGACTTGGAGCGTGATGAAGATATTGCCCTAATCTGTGACAGCTCACAAACGTGCCAAGCCGCACTGGACAGATTAGCACTGGCTGTCCGTCACTTCGGGCTTTGCTTCGCACCATCGAAGTGCAAGGCGTTCCTCCAAGATTGGCCTAGACTGCCTCCTACGCTGATCCTTGGTGGTGATCAGCTTGAAGTCTTTCAAAAAATCAACTACCTGGGAAGTTGTATCAACGCCCATGGGATTGAAGATATGATCACGAACCGTATAGCAAAAGCTCGAGGCGCTTTTGCTAACCTTCGCCACTTATGACGCCGGTGCGACATCACCCTCGCCCTGAAGGGTAGAGTGTACAATGCAGCAGTAAGTTCGACCCTACTGTACGGTTGTGAAACCTAGCCTCTTAAATCAGCGGACATAAAGAGGTTAGTTATGTTCGAGCACCGGTGCCTTCGAAATTTAGCACAAATCTGGTGGGAACACCGAGTAAGCAACCAGCGGGTTCGACGCCGTTTACGACTCATGTAAAAAGTAAAAGTAGGTCGCCAGCTGTACGCCGTAACGGCACTTCGCTGCCACGCGACTACCACTAGTCGCGCGTGGGCTGAGTATATCGCAAGGACGCCCGCCCCTACACGGATGCCAATCACTGACTTTATGGTTACAAACCAGACGCGCATACCACTGGGCGACCGGCCGACTTACGGCATAGGAAAAGGAAATGAAACGCTCAGCACCGTTATTTCAAGCACCAGGCTCCGATGGTACGGCCACGTGTTACACGTACCAGCCCACCGACTCCCGCGACGTGCGTTGTATCCGCGCCGGAGGTGTGGATAGAAGAAGAGGAGAGGTGGCCAAGCGATGGCTTGGTCGAGAGGAATGAAGGCCCTCACTTTGAAGCTGGCCTCAGTTGGAGCGTCTCGGCTCTCTGATTGGAGTCCGAAAGACCATGAACACGTTTGGCTGAATACACTTGCTGATATGGCTAGGAGCCGACCTCAGTGGCGTTCGTGCTGTGAGTTTATTTCTCCCACCCCATCCCTCTTAGCCTCCCCTCCAATCACGATCTCATTATTTAGCCTTATATAATTTTGCATAGTAATTCTTTTGCTGCATAGTAGCCGGCAGGTAGTTTACCGGAACGGTGCCCATCCGTTACCGGTAGCCTAGCTGGCTTGCACCTGTTGCATTTCATTCCCTTTTTTGTCTTTTATGTATTGCGGCACAGTAGCCAAGGTGTTTCTTACCTTTAGCTAATGTGTATAATGAGGATACCATGCACGTCTGCAAAATGTATTAAATGTAAACTAGAGCACAGCCATAGGCGAAGTATGCCACATAAACAACAAAAAATGAGAAAAATAGTAGGGAACTAAAGCTTAAGAAGTCGTTGCTCGAGGGGATTACCCCGTGTCTTGCATGTCAGTGTCGTACAAGGGGACAGCCAATAACATTGCACCTCAGCTAGTGGCCCGATCATGTCGGTTATCGACTCCCGCGGTAGCCAAGAGGCGCAAGCCAACATTTGCGAGAAAAGGAAGGTCATGGCCTAGAGCTCCCTGCCGAGCTAAAGGAATGCGAGCTGTACGGCACTGTTCCCTAGGTCAGTGACTTACCGATAGCCTAGTTGTAATAAATCTCATTTAGGAGCAATCATTTACAACGAGCTTTTACTGGTGAGAAATAAGGGAGAATGACTATAAGCACATGAGATAAGAGTAGCTCTTAAATCAATGGGCTGTACGTATGAGAAGAGGTTTTGATGCCATTTTTATGGATAATTCACAGCAATGAACTCGCCGTCATATAGTCTCCGCACATCCCGAAAATCACTACTTCATTCTAGTGAGACTAGTCAGTAGTGCTCACAACTCGGCTCCGCCAGGAACCGACTCCATGACCTCTCATCCTAACGGCTCAGACCACTTGGCCATGTGGAAGACTATGTGTATTATGAATACCGTTTCAATCCAATCGGCTGTGCGAACCGTCGGCCTCTGCGTTGCCATGGTCACGGCTTCGTTCCGATTGGCTGTTCGACCCCGGCCACGGATTGGCTGACAAATAACAATGGCGGACCTCGTGAAACGGTGTATTTGCTGAAGGACAAGAGGTGGAACAGGCGGTTCAGATTTATAGGCATTAGGCGACCTTGAATATATTTCGTTCCTTTTCCCTCCTTACTTACCAATAATAGTAGCAGAATTTTCAGGAACATTCGTTTCATTGCTAAACGAAACTGTGAAGAAAGCCTGGTGGAATCCATTGGTTCTTGTCGAAAGCAAGCGCCACTCATCGATGCGTTTGAAGATGCTCCTCCTAACAACCTGACTATGATTTAATTAGGATGACTCTCATAAAAGTGCATCTGAAGTCCTCTGAAATAAGTATCGCAGCAGTACAGCTTCCGGATCCTTTGTCGCATATATCTGTGTGGTACTGAGAAGCCGTGGCTCTATGGGCCAAAAATGTCCACCATATTCGCAACTTGTATGATAGTGCAGGACGAAGAGCGCCAAACCGCGGTTACCTGGTAATTCATGACGGTCTACCACCAGCACCACCACCACCATCTATGGCCCGGTGGTGGCATAGACCGCTGGTGTCGAGAGATAATGGGCCCGGTCCGGGTGATGCGCACTAATGATGAACAACATCAGGGCGGAACGGCCGTCTAGGGCAGTTGGGATATCTAGAAGACTATCGGACTGCGTGTTAATTGCGACAAATTATCCATTAGGTTGTGTTCGACCATATGAAACATATTAGGAGCAAGTGCACTGTGACAAGTAAACCAATCACACCGACTCTAAAGGAAACATGTAAACTCGGTAACGCATACACCGGAACGAATAAATTACAACTAAAGAGTGAACGAGAACACTAAAAGAAAATGTAATCACATGTCATAAGAAATCGTGGCAAGAATATGCGCCAGGGATACCGACCGCCTATGCCCGGATCCTCGACTCGTGAAGTTGGGAGCGAATGGTCCCCGTGGCACATATCAAATGACTCACATGACAGTATGGCGGAAGAAATACAACGGTTTACCATATCCACATATGCACTTGATGGATCTCTTGCAAATTGGTCTCTTACAATGTCGTGTTGATCAACTGTCTGACAAGTATAATTCACTTTCTCTGATTCATATCCACTGTATGTCTGCAAGTATGTTCTCTACTTTTTCCCTGTCTTAATCTTATGACAGTGATGTCAGTCGTTGTGACTGGATCCACCGAATTTCGGTTCGTGAGTCATAAGTGAATTATGGAAACGAATGTGTAGGTATTAGAAGTAAGAAAAGCAGTTAATATGCGAACGCTCGCGAATGATCGACCCAAATTTGGTGCTTCTCAAGTATCCAGTAAGGGGAACATCACTAACGCAGAGCCTATTCCCAAGTTTGAGTTGAGGTCATAATCGTGATACAAAACAGCGTCAAAAATGTGTGCAAACAATGCGCAATGGATCTCGAAACACATCAAAGCAGTGAACTTACCGTCGTCCACAACATCCATTGTGTCAATAACGGTGATCAAGTTAGAACGAGCGCACAAATCACGGCAGCGCTGGGCAACGAAGGTTGGGAGATCACGAGCCATCTCAGCAAGATTGCACGTTTGACCGAGGAGACGGGCTGCGGTGCCTGCTCGGTCCAGCCAACTTAGATCGGGTTCAGTGTAAGCGGACGCGCTGGAGATCGGACTCGGACCCCCGTTGGCCGATGGGCCGAGGACCAAAAATGGATGACTGACCGAGGAGATCAAGGCGGGGAGGTCCGAGCTTAGGAGGTAGTCAGCCACGCGGAAAGGAGAGATGATGGGTCGTGTCTCGAACAAATTGGGATGATTGCAAACCTTGCGAAGCTGCATCAGCACATTCATAACAGAGAGAAAATGTCCCGACTTCAAGGTCTCCTTGGTGCTGATAATGAAGTGGAGGGAAATGTAGTGAGGTAATGTGGGTCAATAAAATCCGCAAGAACAATGGCGAGGGTGGATTACATATTAACCCATTCCCTGTTGGCGTCCTTTAAAGACACATTTTAAAATATGAATTAAAGTGCTGAATAAATGCAACAATAATTTTTGACTGGAGTTTCAGCAAAGACACTAGTCCTTATTATTCTGAAATCATTATGGTCAATCCAAGTTTGTCGTAAAGATAAATCTATGCGCAAATCCCATTTTAGGTGTCCTTAAAAAGGACGCCATCAGAGAATGGGTGCATGTAATGAATTCATGAGATTACAGCTGAATATTTACCCTCCTGGATGCATAAAGCTCTTCCATGAGGTGAACCGTGAAAAACTATGAAGTCAGGGTCCACACAAGTAGGAAGTGCAATTAAATGAGTGGGTGCGCCATGATGGTAAAAATATATACCATGGGATGATAGCATCGGAACCGACAAAACTGCGGACTAAGAACACTCGGTTCCAAAACCCAGTGCGTTCGCCTACACGTAAACAATCAGGCATCCACCGAAAGTGTGCTAAGGCCCCCGGTGGCCGATGCCCACTTCATCCTGACCATTTTGTCGTTCTCAAGTCCGTGCACCGGGATTTGTGTTGGCAGCATTGTAAGTTCCGAAGCACAGTTCCTAGCATGCAATAGAGCAATCAACGGATAAAGCAAATGACGCTGTTTTGCTAGATGATGACAACCCCGAAACTGTGCAACATGTCCTGACTAGTCAACAGATTTTAGTGCCTATGCACGACGCGTCCTCTGCTACCTTGGATCATGCAGTACTGTACAAAAATTGGTAATCACTTGCTTGGATGTTGATTGGTGAAGAGACAGATCTTGACAGATATACAGTTCTGTCTACCTATGGATCTGCATTTCAGCTGGTGGTGTTATGGGGTAGGAGAAAGCCACGCTTATCACCAACACAGGACCAACGAGTCACTAAACGGAAGCAATTGAAATACTGAAGAGTCCAAGGTACTCAGTCCATATGTCATGGACAAAACTCCCCATTGCTAGAACAATAATTGACCCACCCCCTTTACGAACCGTACGACACCCCAGAAATGCGTAAGACTAGTGGGCTGATGTGAAAACTTTGCACTGAAGGCGGAAGGAACTGTGTCATATGATGGGATTGTCAAAATGAAAAACGGTGTCGTCCACGTAGTCCGGATCAACACTAATGAGAACGCAGTCTGCTATGACGCTAGGCTACTCGTTGATATATAAGTAAGGGAACACACGTGAGCACATCAGGTGTGCAAGGAGGGTAACGCGACCTCCAAGCAGAACGCCTTTGTATTTAATTAACACACCGCCCTCACCTGCCCAGTCTCATGAAATCGTCATAGAGGAATCTCTGTCTTCTGGATAGGCGACACATTATCACATGTTCAAACTTCTTCGGCATTTGTCGTTCCACGTCCGCTTTGAGTCGGCGCAATAGGAATGGTCGCAAAACTTTGTGCAAACGTGCCACCAGTTGCTCGTTGTACTCGCTGTTACCTTCTATCATGCCTAGAAAAGTAAAGAGAAGACATCCACATACAAAGAGACAGAACTCCTATCCAGTGAGAAACGGAGAAGAGCATTGTAGGGCAACAATGTTCAAGAGCAACTAGATGGAAAGTGAAAGCATTCGTCAATTCGAGGGTGCGTGAAACGTGAGCAAACGTTGTCCAGAGAGTAGAAGCAATTCTGGCAAAAAAATTTGTGTTATCATCGCAAGATGGAGGTATTTAATGAACTTAACATGGAGTACTAAATTGTCAAAGGGTGTGGAAAGGAAAACAAGTTAGAGGCAGACAAATCGAGCTAACCTGGTCTAAGAGGTCGGCTGGCGCTTTCGGTACTTAGCCACGTGACAATGCGTGTAATCACTGCTAGTCGTGGCTACTGCAGTTCCAACAGGGAAGTCATGAACGCTAGATCACCAAGGACCAACGGGTCACTGTGTTCGAGTCCCAATGTAGAATGGTCCACAAACCGTCACACCGCTGCTTCCAGGCGACATCAACGTCCATGAATGCAACACGTTTAGGAATGCAACGACGCAAGAAACATACCCGAGACAACAAAATCGATGAAGGGAATTGAGTCCGCCGCCAATACTCCTATCTGAGTTAGACGGACCTCTAGGTGATTTGATGGCTGGTTAGACGTCGTCATTTATCAAACGATAGTACAAGCGCAAGATTAAGTACAGTCAAATAAAGCAACGTAGAAAATAAATATTATACCGAGAACATAAGTTAAAAGCAAAATGGGTAACACGTTGACGCAGTAAGCAAGCAGGATCGAAAGGTCGCTTGGGAATCGGAAAAGCATAAACATACCCTAGCTAACAAACGGACTATAGTAAACAGAATTGTAAATAGCTGCCCAAAAAATAAAAGAAAAACAGAAAAGATAATAACCTCGCGAATACTAGAGTTTGGATGCTGAAACAAATCCCGAAATTGGAAACAGACCCCGCATGCTGTGCGCGTATGTGCATACGTGCCTGCCTGGGCGTCGGTTCGTCTGTCATGGTCATCGACTGGAGGATCTGTGCGATCCTTGGTTCAGCACAATTTATACTTGCACGATGATTACCATTGTGTGTCCATGATTGTCTTCCAGCTACAAGAAATAGCCACCTTGGTATACGGCCGAGTGCGCCGGTTTTGCATGAGCAGAACAGCTGAGATGATCACACATTCAAAGAGCTTTCGAAAGCGATGCTACGATCAAGTCGAACAAGATGAATAAGGCAGCGCAGCGATGTCGAACGCTGGTAGAGATATTAATGAGGGTGAATAATTATCACACACTTCTCGAAGTTGTGAATGAGGTACCTAGACGGTGCAAACGTTCTTATCTTGATACTCCAGCTTTGATAGCACCAGACGACATGAATATACGTAAGTGACAAGAGAACAAAGAGTTGGCACAATACTAAGTGCGAAGTAACTTGCAAACTATCAGCACATGCATCGTTCAGTGAGAAAAACGTTAAGTGTTTTTGGACTGAATCAGAAGGGAACACATGCAGGCACAAACCCGGTGAGCTCCAAGCAAACGGTATAAACCCCAAAGTGGATTTAGGGTAACTGTTGGCTTTTCCTGTACACAATGAGTACGAGATCACAGATTAAGGTTCATGGTCAAGATGGAAAAGCAGGACAAGTTCGCAACAAGAGGGGCTGGTTTATATGACTGATCCGAAAGTGAACAAACGAGCAAAGTGCACTGAAAGAAGCAAACACCGTGGGGTCTAAAAGCAGGGGATGTAGGAACCAGATATGTTCCAGTTGTTCAGTCAGAAAAAATTGAATCGACCTGAAAAGCAGCATTCCGTGCTCAGAGCTACAAAACGTACCGCATAATGGGGAACAAGGTGCAACGCAAGTCTCTAGGAAATCGTACAAAAAGGACCTTGGCACTTAATGGACCTTCAGATGCCGGTGAATTCAGTGCAATAAAAGTGAGACGGTGAGGATAACCAAACAGCAGCAGATGCGTTTCCCTGTATCGAAACCCAATGGAAAATTGGATGAAAGCCTGGAGCCATGAGGAACTCAGTGAGTAAAACACAATTGTTGCTATTATGATGCACAGCTGGCTTGACAAGAATCGTTCAAGTCCGTTTCATAGTTGAGTATCCAATGAAATCTGAAATGAGCGGTGCTGGAGGTCGGTTATCCAAGAGCCGACTAATAGTTAACCAGAATCAAAAGATGAGATGGCGTGATCTACACATCCAACCAACGAGAGTAGAGAATTATTCGGTAACCTCACACTTTCAGTAAAATAATCAGAGCCATTTTACTGTAGTGTAACACTGTATCCCCTTAGGCGCTATTGAGGCAAGTTGCCAAGATTTTTGTCCTCCGACTTGAGCAGCGTTCATCATCTTCATCAGTACACACGTTAGCTAGAGGTGGGAAACGCCTCAGCTACTGTGCCGCAATAGGTAAAAGGAAAAAGGAGAGAAAATGCAACTGGTGCAAGCCAGCTGAGCTACCGGTAACGGATGGGCATCGTTCCGGTAAGCTACCAGTCGGCTACTGTGCATGAAAAAAATTACTATGCAAAATTATATAAGGCTAAATAGTAAGATCATGATTGGAGGGGAGGCTAAAAGGGATGGGGTGGGACAAATAAACTCAAAGCACGAACGCCACTGAGGTCGGCTCCTAGCCATATGAGCAAGTTTATCCAGCCAAAGGTGTTTGGCTTGGTTGGGATCTCTGAAAGAGTTGGTTCATGTCGGCTGCATTCACTGGCCCCTCCATCGACATGTCCGCGATTCCAAGTACAGTAACCTCCGTAAACCACTGACCTGGTATATTGGGGGCAAAGGTACTCAGCTCTGCTGATGGCGGCGTTGAGTAACGCTCTCATTCAACTGAGACATCGGCGTTCAAGGAAAACAACGGGAGCGTTTCGCGATATTGGGAGGCGCACAACTTGATTTCTTTACATGTGCATCTAAACCATAGCCACGCAGACTAGCTGCAACGCAGACAACCCTAACTAACTTTATCCCTTACTGAAACTTACCAATAATTTACGTATATAGCATACGTACGTCCATGAGAAACCCAGAGTAAAATAGCCAGGCCATTTAAGACGAAGCTACCAACAGAGGCAAAGTAAGTCAAAACGCCGTTGTAAACGTGAAACGCCGCAAAGTACTAGCTGTAAAACAAATGAGTTGAGAAACCGCTAACCTGTGAGGGGAGACGCGAACCATTCTTGGAAATCACGATGTGATTGGAAGATGTTCGGCATAAGAAAATGCATCAAGGACCAGAGCTCCATGAGCGAGTTTTGCAACGGCGTCCCAGTGAGCAGCAGACGGCGCTGACTGTTGAAGGTAAGCAGTGTTTGCCAGCGTTGAGACTTAAAGTTCTTAATATTTTGTGCCTTGGTAAACGTTCAGAAAAGGAACGGGTAAGCAATAAGGACAAAAGACATGCGATGGATAGATAAAGGAATTGCAGCGACCAGTTCACTCTGGAGCATAGCTTTCAGTAAGGGAGAATGTATAAGGCTGCGTCATTCATAAGGAAAATATAACTGACTGTTACGAGACGATGTGCAAAGTTCGGAGGCAGATAATAGGTGGTAGAGCAAGAGGATAGCTGGCCAAGAGCCGCAAAACTTTAAGTCCAGTCTAAAGCAACCGTAATCGCGTTGACGCGTATTGTTCACAATTAATATACTGGCTAGATCCGAAAAAGAGTTCAGCATGTACGCGTATTCCGAAGACAGGAATGATAGGGTGGCTTATGGAACTAGCAATGGGGCAAAACTTGCATTGAAAAAAACTAATCAAACAAGAGTGGCGGAGCCAATAGACTGTGAAATGGCAGTGTGGAGAGGCCAGGGCGAAGGGGTAATTAGAAACGGGAAGGAAAGCCGGATATCAACACTGAGACGGGTGGAAAGCAATCGGACTTCTGCGCAATGACATGCGGGTATCTTGCAAGGGTGTGATGAGGAGACAACCGTGATGCATGTAAGTTAATAAAAGTGACGGAAACAGATAAACTAAATAGCTCACATGGGTAAACAATCATTGAGAGCTAAGATGTGGAGGAGATAGTTGATAAGTAAAATAAGAGTCTTCGACAGAAGAAATTTCCTACGACTGAGGATGCGTCATCTCAAGAGTATACAATGAAAATACGCGAAGGCATCTGATTAATATCGACCAAGTATGAGGTAGCAAAGTGTAAGCAACAATACCTACTGGATGAGGTTACCATGAACTATCCAAAGGATATAGAAGTTAAAGCTGATGGAGAAAGAACAACTGGTCAAAACAATAAGTATGATATGCGAGCATTACCTCATCCAGAATTAAATACTTCCACTTTTTGCGTCGAAACACCGGGGAGTCCTGGATAGCCAGACGGTAAGAGGTGATGCAGACGTGAAATGCGTTGGTTTTTGTCCAACCCTACGAAGATGAGATGCAGAAAGATGCATGGATAGCGCGGTACGCGGTTAGGTAGAATGGAATGAAGTAGAGCGACTTCATGCATCCGAGGTATTCCATGACTTAATAAATAAAAACGCCTTTTCAACGAAAAGGAAAGGGTTCGATGTGTGCTTTCTTTTGAAGCAAGAACTTAAATCGCGCGGCTGATTATACATGAGACATAACATGTTTATTAAGAGGTTATAAAATGAATGAAGACGTGAAAAAAGCGACTTGTAGTTATCGAATCGCAAATGGTGGATCCAACAAGAAAGTGCTGACTAACTAGCACATGTGGAATGTTGACCAATAGCCTAGACCCAAGTGGTTATTGTGAACTGACAGCCATAAGGATATCCAGAAACGGAAACGACCACAACAGTAAAATCAAACCTAAGTTATTGCGGCTTGTTCGCAGTGTGGAGGAGTGGCTGACTTGGAAGGTATTGCGAAGCTCCCCAAGGCTTAGTGGCATAAGCTGCCTGCTAGTGACGCAAGCCGTTAGTGGTCATTGGTTCAGATTCCGATGGAACCAAATGATGCGCACTTTTAACAAGTTTGGATAGGAGGAAACGGCCGTCTAGTGCTTTTACGAGCATGTGGGAGACGAATGGACTTGGAAACCACTGCGAAGAATCCTCAATAAGGTACGTTAAGAGTCCCCTACTCATAGTTGAACCAAAATATGCAATAAAGAATAAGAGGATGAAAGAGTAGCATCTTTAAGGCATAAAAATTTTCATAAAACAATACCAAACAGTGTAAAAACCAAGCGGGAAATGGGTAGCGAATTTTGTAGCATAAAATGATGGCGCTGAATAGCGGTTATTGAGTGATAGGAGTAAGATCCTTAACGCGTATTATTACCAGTAGAGCGAACGCAACAAGCTGAATATGTAGTCCGAGTGACTTACAAAATCAACTATAATATTTAAGTGGTGGTAACGTGTTGTCAGTGATCCATGTGCTCGTCGACCTTCGCGGTTAGCAGGCACCGTGTGACACTCATGCGCTCTATGTGGCATATCGGACGAAGGATTATATCGAGGCATGCGTTTGTGACTGTCTAATCACATACCGAAGATATTCGAAAATCACGATCACTTGTGATCAAGTAAGTAACGACCACAAAATGGGTATTTCACAGTAAGGCTGATGAGACATGGTTCCAACTGCGCCTAATAAAAAGTGGGCGGCTCAAGTGACTGATATTCGCACTACGCTACTTTAAATCACTGTTGCAGAATGACAACTACGAACTACAAAGTTGGGAAAGCCACATCGTTTCCAAAGAAAATGAGCAGTGATATGAAACCCATGTCAACACACAATGAGAATTCTGAAGCTAGGAGAAAACACGATAATTGTGATTGTTTTGCAACTAGTATGACAAGAACCAACCTACCTTACGTCGCTCTTTGCGCTCCTTCACATGGCCGAAGTAGGTGATGATTTTAAAGCCCGGACACCATCGTTTGAATTCAATTTCCCAGTTCAAAATCACGCTTGTCGGAACCACGATGAGGTGAGGTCCCCAAACCCCATGCTCACAGGCTAAATGAGCCAGCAGAGCAATGGTCTGAATGGTCTTGCCCAAACCCATCTCGTCCGCAAGAATCCCATTCAGTCGCTTCTGATATATAGTGGCGAGCCAATTTAGACCCACTAACTGGTACTCACGTAATGTACCACCAGTAAGCAAGAAAGGAACGGGTACTGTGGATGAGATTGAAGGTTGTGTGATTTCCATAGCTTGTTTCTTTACGTCCTCTGCCTTGTTCGTCTATAAGGAGAGAGGAAGAACAAAGAAAACGAGCCCGTTGTCCATCGACTTCAACCAAACAATCTGTGGCAAATCAGGTAAAAAGCGTGAAGCGCACAAAACGCGAATTTGTTGATCAATAACAGCATAACAGTACAATTTAGTAATCACCTCAAGCTATATAAACTATAAGTATTAGATGCGATGTCGGGCAGCCGTTTCATTCTCGGTGAAGACATTGACGGATTTCGTACAAACTGCAGTGTACATCGAACGAGGTGGTGGGGACTGTGCGGAGAACCATCGTTGAAAAGTTGAGTGCAAAGATTTCATTTAAATGACTTGTCACCCGGGTTTCGGAACCCAACATGAACGAAGAATAACGGGGAATTTTCTCAGATCGCGGCACAACCCATAAGGGGTTATCGGTCAATCAAAGTTAAAAGAAGCACCGCGAACGAAACCGCCGCTGCAATTAAGGTCCGCGTTCGACACGATGCTGCGGACACGTTTGGGTAGGTGTACTAGTTTTACGAAAAGTCCACATAGTGGTATGCATACGATAGCGTAGCTGTTTAGACAAACATCGGAGGATTCTGACGCTGTCTCTGATGCGAAGCAAGCCTGTGCCATAGCCTCTTTTCTGTGGAAGATTTATCTAACTACGGTGCTAGCAGTTCCAGTCAATTCAACCGAATACGGCTTCGGCCCCGAGAAAACAGGCATCAGCAATATGTCGGCATACAGTGCCAGCACTTCGCTGCCAGGCAAAAGTCGTGTCTGAGTGCGCTATATTGCGATGTTGCTTGCAACTACGCGGATTCGAATTGCGGGACTCTGGATTACAGGTCAAGCGCCAAGTGAGAACCGGACATCTGATGCTGATGCAGTCGGTTACAAGCTCCACATCAAACATATAGCGGTGCAGTGCACATAGTTGCGTGTTCTTCACCTAAGCAGATCTGATAAATCATCAATGTAGTAGCGATGATCCAAGGTTGAAAAATCAACGTCAATTTGAAAGGACATCCGTGGCTAAAAAATACCGATTCTAACGTCACATACTACCCACACCGACACCGCAAAAAGGTTGCACACTTGCTGCATCGTTGACGCAGCTATAGTAAACTCATACCTCGAACTCGTGCTTTATGCTTGAGGGTAATTCCCGAATGACACGTCGGATGTGGCCGCTCAGTGTTGATAAGGAACATGCGTGTCGATGCCGCCGTTTGAATTTGTGACCACAGAAGTCCGCTAAGTCAGAAACTTTCTTCAAACAGCCTCCTACTCATCAGTAGTCTACTAATCAGTGCCAGGAGGACGAGGTGCCAGGAGAAGTGATTCCATAATGGAAGGAGTCGCGGCCTAATCACCAGCACGTGTAGATTTGCTAAGTATGTTCCCCAAAATTTCACATTATCGTTAAGCGCTGTGCATGTGTGGATTGGGTGGGAATACATTTTTGCTCCCATCCACACGCCTCTTGACCTCATTCCTTCGGGTTTGAGCTGGATAAGGAGTATGTGGATGGAGATGTGGGTGATGGCTCTGTAGGCGTAAGATTTCGCGGTCAAGGTGAAGAGTAAGCTCAGAAACGGATGTTACCGGTAACAACTAAAAGTAAGATGGACAAGAAACAAAAACAAACCGCTAACTAACCTCGGATTCAAATGTATTGACGATTGTCTTGCTGCCGGTTGTACACTCAGTGACTGATTGACTCATTAAGTATTCGAAGTAACCAGGTGGGAGAAGATTCTCGATCGGCGCGTCTGCGTCAGCTGCCAGTTGGGCCAATTCGGTTTCAGCTGAAGGGAGTGGCTCCGCTGTATACGATGCAGCTTCCCGCTCCTCTCGATCGATTGTCTCCTCATCATCTTCGGCCTCAGATTTAGCAGAATTATCGTTCTGAATGAAAGAATTAACAAGATAATGGCATCCGCCAACGCATAAGTAAGGCAGGGATAAACGAAATGTATCAAACGCACCATATACTCAGAATCCGAAGAGCTGAGCTCCCGTTCTTCAGACAGTGTTGATCGGTTACCAGTTTCTTCGGAGGCAACTTCGGACACTTTGTCCAGGGAATTCAAACGGTTGACACATCCATCTGCATTCAGTTCGGGTGGGTCATTAGCTTTTGAAATCGGATCCGGGTGAACTGCACATTTGCCAGCCATATCTTGGGTTAACCAACGTGTATATTCCTCGGTGGTTTCTAACACCCGCCCTAAGTGAGTAGTGATAGCTTGTTGCCGTTTTGCCGTCAAACGAACTTGTTGTTTGGCATGAACGATCTGTCGAATGCAGGATTGCACGGATTAAAGAGGTCATTATTCCCCAAAGCGGCCACTATACCCTTGTATAAGGTGAATAGGAATACTCACTTTATCGATTTGACGCCAAAAATCGCGCACCATACGGGTAATGACAGCGCACAATTTTCGCGTGCGTAGAACTTCCTCCTTTTCCGCTTTCATTGATCGCTCGGTTTTTTCTCGACAAACTTTAATAGATGCCAGAGCCAGCTAGCAATAAATGTGAGAAGATAATCCAGTTTCATTAAAGAATGAACTGCTAGTTGAGCTAACTTAAGTTGGATAGGAGAGCACGTTCGTCAAAATGATCTGGGATAAAATTTCGGTTTAAAAGCAAGACGATAATGAAGTGCTTAAAATTCCCAAGATAAAATAATTTACCTTTTTGGCAGAGACTCTTTTCCACTGGCGTTCCCGTTTGTAATCCTCCGCCAACCAACGTAATTCGGCAAAAAGGTAGTCACTGTAGACCCGCTGTGTTTGTTCCGGAGGGGGAGCTAGTGAGGATAAGCTGGGAGCGGGTTCTGCTGGTCCAGAATCATTACTTTCAAGAGTGACCTCATCAACCGACCACAATCCTGCTTGTTTCAATTCCACAACGCGTTTCAGGACATCCAACTCTTCAATAGCCAACCGGTGTAAAGAGAGCTCATCCAATCCGCGCTGAGAGCAAACAAAAAGAAAGTGAGATTCCGAGTAATAACTCCGAATGTCCTGTCTCTATCGTGGAGCAAGGAATAAAACGTGAGGCGAAAGAGCAATGTTCGACTAAGTTTCGTCCAACGCCTAGATAGTCTTCGAGAGTCACCTAGTCAGAAACAAAAAGAAGCCATAAGTGAACTAACATGTGTGCTTCGCACCATCTTAGCGTTTGTGAGGCAGATTTCGAGTGACCAAAATGCCGGTTGGAGAAAACAACACCTGAATGTCGGGTTACAATAGTGCCTTCTTAAGTTACGTTGATCAACTATGATCCGTGCGCCGAGGTACACTGGAGCTAGTAGTGTTGACTCGCGTCATTAAAGTAGTACTGATAATGACAATCGAAATAAATAGAGGGCAAAGGGAAGAAGCTGAAATTGTTGGACGGAACAGCTATGAGTCAGAAATTTGGGAACGAATGTAGTACTGGCATTGGCGTCGTTGACGCATTTAACTGCTGATGGGGCGGAAGAAGAACTAATCCGATATAGCATATGTTTCTTTACGTCCCTCTGCGATACCAATGGATGGTGAGCTTGGAAGTTCCCTCAATAGGGTGCAGCATCAGAGAATAATACATAGTTTGCAGGATCACGGACCATTAGACCAAGTCAGTGAGGGCGAGCTCATACTAGAGACACAACAGTGAGCCACTTAAGAGTCAGGTTGAAGCAAAGACCGGTCATAGAACTTTTAACCCCAGAGAATACATGGCCACAACGTTGTGCTGCTGAATATCTCCGAGGAAGGTCGTCGCTCTAAGATTAGCAACGATCAGGGCAACCTGTGGAGGCAACTTCTAAAGCGAAGGTTGCCGCTGTGGAGATGATAACAGATCGACAAACGATTGTGCGTGAAATAGCTCATAGAATTAGGACTAGTTTCGTGCAGAATGCCCATTTGGTTCTCAAATCTGAGAAGAAACGAAAGCAGAACGCTTAGGATGAACGATTGTTTTCGATTTCTTCCTCATCAGGTCGAATACAGAAATACACATATGAACAAGCAGGTTTGTAGGACAGTATAGTGACACACCATTGATTAGATAAAACTGAACGTAAACAGTTCTCGTGATAAGCGTCAGATGATCAAGTGTTGGGCGGCAGCAAATTCCTCCCGTGTAGTTGATGGTCATGGAAGTTGTAATGCTTGAATGAGCTTCTTTTGGATGCAGAGATTAGGCTTCATCAGTCTCATGATTACTGCCTCAGTAGTATCAAGCAGTCGTGCTGATCACTGCCGGGTTAAGTGTGACGTCACTTTATACAGGATTTTGAAGGCACTACTTTTGTCAGTAGTGTGCCCAGTAGCAATCAGATGGTTAGTAACTGCGATAGATTAGGTCTGTCTCTGCGGTTGGTGAGCGAATTCGGTACGTGCTAATTGATTCAATCTTCTGAGTGCCTGGTAGTACGTCCAATATGCCTAGCTCCACAAGAGCAGGTGAAACGGTATATTACATTTGATTGGAGGCGATCAGGTACATTGTCTTCGAATCTAAGGACAACCAAGGATTCGGTCGTATACACAACACTGACCTCAGCTGTTTTGAAGGTATTCCAGCAGGCCTGCATTAATCTTCTCGTACAGATCTCCGCCGCTTTGTCACTCTTAAAGGGGATCTTAAGGAACAACTGTTTTTCTCAACCATTTGCACTGTTGGCTTCGAGTCTTTAGGCCTCACATGCGTGTCAATAAAGCGTTCTGGATAACCATTCTCAAGTAGTGTGCACCAGATGCGTTTCAGTTCATCTGTAATCGTGTCTTCGCTACAGGTCTTGTGCGCACGATCAGTCAACGTATGGATCAGTGTTATTTTGCTGCTGAGGGGCACGAAACTCTGGAAAATATCTAGTACCCCGTCTAATATGGTTTTCTGTACTGTCCTTACTGGATTAATCTATCGGCTTTCCTCTGGATTTACATCCAAAAAGTTTAGACGGTTGTTGCTTTGTTCTTCAGCTGCAAATGAGGCATCGAGATGCGTATTGTTGAAACGTGCAACGACGTTTTGCAAGTTGATCGTCCGATAAACTATGCAGAAATTTTCGTCTCCTTAACGTCGGTAGAACCTGAAGGTTGAAATGACCGGTTTCGGCGATTCATTTTTTAGCATCTCCATGTAGACATCTGCTCAAAACCTAGATATGAGCATTTGAATATGTCAAATGTGTGTGCACAACGGATGCCGAGATGGTTATCTATCGAAATGAAGGAAAAATGCGACCGATGTTCAAAAGAAATTAGTAAACATACAGAAACACGGGGACCAAGTTAAGTGGCGATTAGTTATACGAGATGAGACTTGGATCCACCATTAGGATCCCGAAACAAAAGAACTACCCAAGCAGTGGAAGTACCAGGATGCTTCACTGCTCAAAAACTTATAATTCAGCCAATGTAGGCAAGATAATGTGCACAATTTCCAATGGTGCTGATGGTATGCGTTTACTTGAAGATGCCACAGAAGACGAATACCACTGGTTCCTATTAAGCTAACCTGATCCGGTAATTGAGTTTGTATTAAAACAAAACGTAGAAGGATTTTGAGAGCTGCTATTCTGATTATGCACAATGCAGCAGCCTACATAGCCAAGATATCAACAGCTGATATCTGGGAATGTGGCTTTTATGAACTTCCTCATCCAGCCTATTCTCTTGACATGGCCCCATGTGACTTTCACATGTTTCCAAATTTGAAGTGCTCCTTAAAAGGCAAGCATTTTGCTTCGGACGAAGAACTGGGATTGGCAGTAGAAAACTGATTTAAAGGACAATAAAATCGCTTTCATCTGACTGGAATCGAGTAATTGCGTCACTGAGATTAAATTGAGAGCGATAACATAGAAAAATAAAATAGTTGTTATCATAAATCTTGCCTGCCTGACATCAGGCTCGATGTTCTCACTATGATCGACAAAAATTGTGGCATCAGTAGGCAAATATAATGAACCTTGGTGCTCGCGGTGGTAGTCGCAAGGTCTATGATTCATATACTGGCACAGATGGCCTTGTTTTAAATCATTTCACTAAATAAATGGCTCATATTCTGCTTTGTACACTAGCGATTGAGGCCTTGGAAAGCAACATGAGCCTTAGCGAGACGTATAGTAATCTCCTCGGTGGTGGGTCCGCTGATCACACAATTCAGATTGGTTTTCTATGATTGAGAAAGCAGAATGTGCAGCAGGTCAGTGTTGTAACTCTGTTCTGCAGTTTAAAGATACAAAGCATAAAATGAAGCGTGCAGCGTTAAACGATAGTCTATTAGATATCTATGCACATCAGCTAGGTCCAATCTAAAGAGAACTACCTCGTTCGCCCACCTATATTTCGAAAGTCAGTCGTCGAACAGAAGCACTGTTGCGCAGGATGAGTAGGAGGACGGGACGGAGTCGGCCGAGACACACTAACTCACAAGGAGAAATAAGGAAACTATGAAGCAGCCGAAGCAGTCGCAACAAATTTATGTGATAATACTTCGCAGCTTGCTAGACGGGAGTATTGAACAGACATTTCATACTATAAAGCTGTAAGAAAAGCTCTGTAACGACAAACCGCGGTCAATAGAATCAGATTTAAAAACCTGTTAGAAAAGGCTACCAGGATATGCACCTGGTATGCTTAATTTTCAGAATTCCGTAATGCCTAAATCATGATCAATGTGCTTCCTACCAAAGCGTGTCAGATCGAGTTGCACCGACACGCCACTCTCGAGAATCATTTAGCTGACTTAGTGTGATGTGGAGGTAACGGAGATCAATATGATAATATAATGATTTTCATAAGTTCTAGGAATTATGTAATATGGGAATGATGGGTTATGTTCGACAGACAGACATTAACAGTTCCCAGTGAAAGTGTCAAAAGCAGCAATCAAGACAACGGAGTCTCCATTGTACCCATGACCGATGTGGTGTTTAACCAGCGCCAAGAGCCTTGTGTAGTATCAGAAGCATCAGCACTCCCGCATTTCGTTGGTGGTGAGAGTGGTTCTACCAACTTCGCAGTTAGGTTCAGGTGACGCAAGTGAAGAGAAAAAACTTCAGTAGTACTCCGGTACATCGTAACGTCGCTTCACTGACACGTGGCTAACACCGGTCGCGCGTGGTGTGGGTATACTGTAAGGTCGTACGCAGCTATGCAGATTCGAAACGGCGACCTGCGGATCACACGGCAAGTAGGTAATCCCATCGGCAACCGGTCGAGGCAATTAGGAATTCTAAAACATCGGATCAGTCGAACTGTTCCTCCTAACGAAGCACGTCGACTGATGCGACTGAGTCAGCTGTCTATTTTTCCCAGTCACTTCTAAGTTATTCATGAGTCAAATTCAGTGTTTTCAGAAATTTGATATATATAAAAATGCAACAGCTGTATTTCCAACCGGTGTGGAATGAGTATGGGTTTACAGAGCAAATCAAGGATAATCGGTGTGTGGAGCACAAAGTTCAAATTGAAATCACCACAATTAGCCTCATAATCATACAGCGCGGGTTCGGATCCACGTAGGGATAGGCGTCCTTGCGGTATACTCAGCCCGGGTGCGACTGTTGGTCGGACGGCAGCGAAGCGCCGTTACGGCGTATAGCTGACACGTGACAATTAGTCAATCGGTCATCATGCGCCCAGAAAAGCATTGCACGTATACTATCTATTTCCGGCTGTTGGGCTAGAACAGGCCACTCTACTCTTACGAATCGGTTGTTATGGCCACCGAACTGTGGCGGACACCAAACACCGAGGTAATCAAATTATTAGATATGAAATGGCATGACTCACTCTAAGAAGCATGTAGACGCTTCTTTTCTCTGGGAATCAGTATGCATCCTAGACTGCTTATGATACCATAATTTAACTGTATGTTCAGGTGTCGAAACTTGTCGCTCTGGAAGAAGTACCCTTTTGGGTGCAGGGTAAAACCGTGAAAGACAACGGAGAATGAGTCGCGCTACATCACGTATAGTCGGTTGTTGGCTTCAGCTTAGGCCCAGTGGCCACAATCACGAAATCAAGAAAGGACGGCAGGTTCTAGCTACACAAGAAACAGACAGAATTAAAAAGGCAGACAGCTCCGGATCGGATGAAACGGTCTTACAGTGCATTTCCGGACGGGTGGCGGTTATAGTGCGGTTGAGATGGACTCAAGTTACACCACTTAAATTTCCCACTGCTCTCTAGAACGAAAGTCCATTGACGTAACCTGATGAATCAGAAGATCTTAAACAAATATGATAATAGAACGGGTGAGTAATATAAGCAATAGAGCAAGAGGTGATGACGCATTAGGTCAATACAATATCATCCTTTTCGGATGATAAAATGTGATATTTTAGTGCAACAGTGTAACTGCAGGCTGCGAAGCCTTCAATAAGTGAAGCAACCAAAGTATTTTGCTAATTTTCCGACCTCGTTCGAACAATTATGAATTAGTTGGCTTAAACTTAGCTTTCAATAGTGAACTGTTACCTGATTCTGATAATTGCAAAGGCATTGTGAGAAATGCTGAAGACGTCTCTTTTCTAACTGAAGAACCGTATGTCTCCGTTACCACGCTTTGGTTAATAAAAACAGTTTCATGCAAGCGTCTAGTAAACATCAAACCTCGGATGGAGTAGACAATAGAATAAAAGCAAATCGAGCAAAAGGAGGCCTGAGGAAAACTACGTCAAAAATGTAAACAGCGTCCATTCCTACAACGGATGATGAAATCCACAACTGTTCACTTGGGACCCTTGTATGAGTTTGGGTTAATGCTAGCGAATTGAATCATGCGATCAGAATACATCAACGCTCAACACCGTAGTCCGTCTTATTGAAACCAAAATGAATGCGACTACACGTTAAAGTAAAGCTCATCATGGTTTAAAATCAATCGGACAATCACTGAGCACCCGAGAGTGCTTTAAAGTTTCGATCCGTCTGCATGGTTTCCTGATCAGCTGAGGGGCCCGAAACAAATGACCTATCATCTCAGACAATGGTTAAGATCCTTAGTCGCATAACATGTTGGTTATTGCGGCTACGCAAGCAACACATGGCTTGTATGTTACCGTGGCATTAAAAAAATTGTTCATCGAAAACTCGAGCATTAAGGGCCCATTAGCGAATGGAACACCGGAAAAGTTTCATCTAAGAGTTTCGCACAAGAGAAAAATAGCGACTCAAAGATATTACGAACGTAAACCTAATAGGCATAAAGAACAAAATCGTGCTTATCAGGTTATCGTAGAAAGTATTGGTCCAAACGGGAGATCTCAAACGGACGATTCCCGATTAGATGTGACACACCAATTGTCCGAAAATCCAAAGTGGAGCGGAAATCCTTAATGCAAGTAATGCCTTCGGAGAAAACAATATTTGATAAAGTGTAAAAATCTGTTAACTGCTCATATAGGCAAGTACCAGCAGTACGTCGGCACGCTGTGCCGACGCTTCAGTGCCACGCGAACACCACAGGTCGCGCGCGGGCTGGGCATACCGCGAGGGCGCCTGCACCTGTGCGGAATCGAACCGGTGAACTCCGGATCACAAGGTGCCTAATCTTTTCGGCCAACGGCCGTTAATCTGAATACTGTACTGTGGAGCAATAGCAATGAATTCTGCACACCGTTTTCGAAATATGGTGAAAACGTCATAAAATTGTCACCCGGGGATATCGTTATTGTTCCCATGTAACATTTAAAGTATCTAGCTCACAGTATTGTAAAGAACAAAGCAAAAGCACCCAGATGCACCATGCAAGGCAAGCATGTCTCTGTCCATCCAAGTATCACAACTCTCAAGAACGAGTGCATGCAGGGAATCACGCTCTTTAAGAGCAAAATGTCGGCGGAATGGGCAATAGTTTAGCAAACGATATAAAAAAGAAGTAAAACTACCTCTTCATCAGATTCTCCATCGAAAACAGACTGTGATGAACTGGCGGCACTGCCCAGAGGAAAAAATTCATCTGCTGCAACTTCACCAGACATAAATCCTCCAATCAATGCTAGATCTTCGGCATCCAGGTGACCAGAGCATAATGCCTGGATTAGCTCCTGGGATTTTTTAAGCTTCCAAGGAGGAAAGTCTATTAATAGAGAACCGCTTTGAATAAAGCTGAGCTCTACAAGATCCTCATGGTATGCAGCCTGGATCCATCGAAGACGCCGTTTAAATAAATCAGCTGCACATGAGCGGAGGTGAGTCGTAGTAACAGCACCCTTGCAGTCGTGCTGGGCTGTACATTTGCGCCTTCGAGCAACTTGTGTACACAACTTCTTCTCGATAAAAGACACATGGTCACGACATTGGCCCGATTGTGTCAAGGTACCACTATTCAATCTCACTTCTTCAGACTCGGTGGAACGAAATGGGTAAGACATCGCACATAAAGTGGGCTATACTGGTTATGCAACAACTATGATTGAGCGAGTGGCCATTCATTATAATCTGAAAAGAGAGAAAACATGCTCAAAGGGAGGGCACAAAAGAATTATGAAGATCAAACAGGAGTAGAAGGGGAAAATGCATAGCCAAAGAGGGAAGCTCGCATTCGAGATTCAATGTCAAGTTCAAGTGGGACTTGTGCTTTTGCTTAAGCGAACGTTGAGCCGGGATTCGATAAGGTGCTCTGAAGTCTTGATAGATCCAGAACAAAACACCCGAACAACACACTGGTCAACCGACTACTGTTCACGTCTTCTATACTAACAGTCCCTGTGGTGTCGGCCACGTGAGCGAGAGAGGAAGAAAATAGAGGAAAAAGGCCCTGTGAATGAAGGACACTCCAAATGAGTGAAGGAACGCATAGAAAATAAAATCGAAGTACGAAGATAAGTATGACCAGGAGAAGGAAGTGATTTCGTGTTGCCACGCAAGCGTGTCCAATTGACGCCCAAAGTCCTTAGTCGTAGGTTCTCTGAAAACATTGACTAAAAGCAAGTTTCAAGGTTCCATAGCTCTATGTGATAACCGAGTTTCGGTTCAAATCCGGTTACAGCGCGGCTTGTGCAGCTTCATGGAATAACTGAGGAAAGCACAACCTGGTTTGACAAAATAACCAAGACAAATCAGCGCCAACTTTCGCAGCTGAAGTACAGCAAGTGAGGATAAGATATCCTCGAGATCTCCTGTTATGTTTTGAACGCATCTATAAACTGAGTAAACGCATGGGTACGTCTATCTCCGCACTCCTTCGACCAACCTAGTAGTACTCTCCAGCTCTACTTTTGTCTCGGACGAAGCAGAGACGGCAAACTTGAACGCAATATTTCAGGTGGGGCAGAAGGAAGATTGAGAACAGCTTCACAAAGCGGTTGGCCGTTAAAATTACAAAAGTATGGATTGGCAACCACAAATTACGGAAGCTACTATTTGCGGCCTTTTTCCAGTTATCGCACAAATTTACAGTTGAGGAGTGAATGATGTCTAGGTCAAGCTGATTGGAGACAAGAGGGAGTTCGAAGCGGAAAAGCAGTTACCTCGAGGTTAGAAAGGTGTTCCAATAGCAATGGCATCAGGACTCTCAAGAACATACACAGTATTTCAAGTCATCAGCAAGTAATAGTGATGATACCCGAAACTCCCCAGGGAGCGCTTATATAGATAGAGGATAGGAGCGGCCCAAGGACCAAGCCTTGCTGAAGGCCGCAGATAGACTGCGACCAATACGTACATACTGCTATCTTCCATCCGAAAATGCACACTCTGTGAAGGGAACGAGTAGATACACCGTAAGAGTCCAGCTTTTGCTATAGTCTCAAGTCGGGCATCGTGAAAAATACTTCCGAAGAATCCACGAACTACAGGTCCAATAAGTGGCCATTGTCCACTTCTCACGAGCAACGAATAAATGCGACCGACACGAAAATCGCCTCCGGAATACATGTAGTGCACAGCCGAGTAGATTAAATCTATGCAGGTGGCTATCCAACGAATCTTTCACCAATTTTGCAATCAGTTTGGTAATGATGTTCCTTTCACTGATTGACCTGTAATCTGTCAACATTGTAAAGACGGGATAATTTCCTTCAATTCAAAAGGTAATGTGCATCTACAAGGTAACTTTTAAAGCACGGTCGTTAGTAGTCCACTTAGTTCTGCTGCCAACCTATGCAGGAGGTTCGAGTGAACTAAATCAGGCCTAGTTGCTTTAGAAGAGCTGATTACTTGTAGCAACCTAAGAACATGAGTTTTCACCCTACTAAATTCAGCAAGACAAGAATCGTCTGGGACTCCCGAGATCAGCCCAATGCTGGGCAATGTGGTTCCAAGTACAACGGCTCCTGCATACTGCCCACCAAGTACACAAGCGTTGTCGGAGTTCCATCGGCCCGCATCAAAGCTGGAATTAACGAATTCGAACCGCAACACCTTTCGACAGCAAATGACCTGTTTGAATTCACCGAGGCCTCATCAGTTAGCCCCTTTTGTACAACAGCCAGGCTTTTCTTAAGTGCTGCTTACATCTATTTCTAGCCTGCGGTACACATCGTAGGTGCTGGTTGATGGGACGGCGCGGTAGATCCTCAAACATCTAGACCTCGTCGTGAGCAGATACCTGTCAGCGTTCTCTATCCAGAGGACTGTGACCTTGTCCCGTTTCTCTTTGTAAGCGCGATGTAAGGAGCAGGGACCTCCACCAGATAGGACCTAAACTTATCCCAGACCACCTGCACGGTATCGGTCACCGAGAGCTCGCAAAGCGAACATAATGGCATTGGTTCGCACTGCTTGATAGCTCGCACGCCGCATATTTGGACACGACTCAACGGTACATCTAGAAAGAGCAGAACTAAAGAGCAGACAATTATGATCCCTGGCGCCTAGAGAAGAGTCGTAAACAATGTCAACTGCAAAGTCGAGTGAGTTGATAAAAAATGGTCCAAAACAGAAGTACTTGGATGTCCATGTACCCAGTGCGGAGGTCCACGAAATGATGCAACCGTACATACAGCGACAGCTCAGAAAGATCTGCACCAAAAGTACCGACACTAGGTTACAAGATCAGCTTGGCAAACCTCCGTGAACTTGATGTAACCCAGTACCAGACACCTGCGTGTAGCCTGAGAGCGAATAAGATCAAACACTCCCTTGCATGTACTAGCAGGGCGCCTATAAAGTATAACAACTGCAAATTGAGCCGAGGAAGTGCTAAATACAGCCGCGTGACGTGCGTGCTCCTGGTTCACTTGGATTACTCAAATCTATTCTCTCTGTATCTTCTCGAAACGTTGTCACTGTACGCTCATTCGAACCGTATTTACCAGCCCTACAATGTGATCTATCATACGTGGAATTATCTTCTATGACTAGAGTTCGTGCCATGACTAACCGTTTTCACTGGCATCCGTGATTAAGCACAAACGGATAAGTCAAGCACATTAAGCCGATTGCCTATCTATGTGACAGTATATGATACAGAATTCTCGAGGCAGTCCGAAAAGCGTAAGCTTATTCTGATCCGGCGTTTCTCAACGCAGATGTAAATGTAATTGTGATCACTCAATCTGTGTTTAGCGCTGTGTTCAGATTCAGTTAGCAGGTTCCAGTCACTCGCCATTCCTTGTGAACTTGTTAGCCAGTGCGCCTGCATAACCCATCATACGGACCGTGCGACTATGCCGATCGCTCATTTGACCTTGCAACCACCACGCTCGCCTGACCGATGTGTGTCGCTCTCAAAGCTGGAAAAGTACAGAACGCCAATCAACCCAATGGGTCAGGTAACGACATCATGTTGAATGGCAGAAATGCGAATCCGAAAGGCTCCAAGTGAAAAACATTTGCGGATTAGGAGAATGTTATCGATTGGTCAAAACAGGTATTGGCTTGCTCGGATTGTTTAGAATGATATCATCCTAAGCGTGTAACTGTGTCCCAACAACAGGTACGACAGCGAAATAGCTCCCAAGATGTACTATGATTCTGTACTGCGTGCTTCACCACCCCACTCGTTAAGTGCTTGCTTATGCTACTTTAGAAGTGCGACCGGTTAAACGCAAAAGCCGAGCAGAGGATAAACGATAAGATTACTTTAATGGAAGCGAGTATGCACCACAAAAGCGTAGCGGTTTCTATGCAACGGAATGCTGCACAATCCGCTTCCCCTGAACCGCAGTCACGTCCCCATCTCCGTTGTCTTCTCCAAGTTTGGTAGAACGCCGGCGGAAAATTGACCGTACCTACGAGAGTCGAACAGTACTCATGGCAAAGAAAATTAGGCACGACGCGAAACGTCTGATTAAGCAACTTCCATTAGGCCTGACATCTGGCAGTAACAAGGATGAAGCAACCAACTCTCGGTACCTGTAGCTCAAATGTCTTGTCGAGACAAATCTCCCTGGAACATCGGTTACATATGCATAGATGGCTGCAAAGGTCAGCTGGAAGGCCGCCGTTGCGGTCTCTTCTGTTGTAAACATCGTTAAAACGAATAGAGGGAGAAACACCAAACAATCAACACTTGTTAGCAGGACAAGACAAACGAGTACCCTACCTTGTAGATCAACGAAAAAGGGATGCAACAATAATGCACGAAATGTTGTATGCTCTAACGTCCCTGAATCTACCGCCGTCACATTGAGGGATGTTACCGGCGACCAAGGTCAATGAAACTCATTGTGCGTGCTGATGAGTGTCAAAGCCAAGCCCATAAACCTATTGCGAATTACTCGTCGTCCGACTCGCTACACTATGGCGAACCTAGACTTATTCAAGGAACAATAGAATCCACCAATGACGTAGAAAACGTTTTGCTCTCCGCAAGCACGCTAAAGCACGGATCCTGTGGGATACGCATCTATCCTGACGTCCCTTAGAGCGCGCGACAATCAACAAGAAACACCGAAGAGAGACACAGCAAACAAGATTGCCTAAACACAATCTTCATACATGGCGTGCCAGGACATCCTTCTAACGATGTGCAAGAGATCGAAAAGCAGGATTTAGACCAGCGACGATTCATTCGTGACAATTTTCTTGGAAATGATTGTGGGAATATAGCTCACCATGACCGCTCTCACCAAAGTATAGAGGATGCAGCCCTAGAATCCAAAAACTTGCGGTTCAGTCAGAGCAACAAGCAACGGATGTTTTGGATCGATGGCGAAGAAATCGGAAAAGTCTTCGTTCTGAAATTCGGTTAAAGGTCGCGGAAGCATTGCACAGCTCAATCATTAAAGCACCTGAAGCAACAAGCGTACCGACGAATATACAGAAACCTAACTTGACTGTTGCTTTAACTGACTCTAAGCTAGGTCTAAACGAAGATTTCGATGCACCTCTGCCGAATAAATTTTCATACGTGGTATTATTATCCCATCAAAAAACGAGTAACCGTCGACCTCCCATCGGTTAGCATTCACCCGCACTTGACCACTTCAGTCTGCCATGGGCTCCTAGAGACCGAGAAACTGGCCTGCATGTACACGAATGCTCAGGGTCTTTTTA